ACACACACACACACACACACACACACACACACACACACACACACATATAGCAGCCAATAGGTTATGAGAAAATGTTTGACCTAATTTGTAGTCAAAGAAACAGTTATTCAGACAGCCATAAGATACTGGAAGTTTTTTTGCTTCATCAGCTTGCAAAGCTATTTTCAGATGTCATAATACCTTCATACTGGTGAGAGAATGGGAACACAGCCCTCCAAAGGTGCGTCGGTGGGAGCGTGGATGGGTACCAGCTTTCCAGAGGGCACTTTAGCAGCACCTATCCACAACATCCCTGGAGTGCAGAACCTTTGAAAATGGGAGCAAAGATCTGGCTTTGAGAATATTGCGGAGTAATAGCAAAAATTTAGAAACGATCTCAAGGCCAGTGCCATTCTTCCTTAACCCGTGGCCTCTGGGAGCCCCCAGGGCGCAGTCCTGCCTTCTCCCATCCCAGGAGCTGGGGCAGAGCCTGGAGGCCAGCACCGCTCCCTCACTGCCTCCCTCCTGCCCTCCATCCCACCCCAGCCCGCTTTCGGAAGGGACCCAGACAGTATTGAGCCCTTCGGTGACCTGCGGGCCCACGGGCCTCCTGCTGTGCCGCCCCGTCATCCTCACGGTGCCACACTGCGCTGAAGTCAGTGCCGGTGACTGGATCTTCCAGCTCAAGACCCAGGCCCACCAGGGCCACTGGGAGGTGAGGAGCCAAGGCCGGGGGGCCGGGGGGCCGGGTCTGCTAACCCAACCTGCCTGGACCCTCTCCAGGGCCTTGGCTGGTACAGCCACCTCACCTCCACTGTCACCCTGCAGGAGGTGGTCACCCTGGATGAGGAGACCCTTAACACCCCCTGCTACTGCCAGCTGGAGGCCAGGTCCTGCCACATCCTGTTGGACCAGCTGGGCACCTACGTCTTCACGGGTGAGTCCTACTCTCGCTTGGCAGTCAAGCGGCTCCAGCTGGCCATCTTCGCCCCCGCCCTCTGCACCTCTCTGGAGTACAGCCTCAGGGTCTACTGCCTGGAGGACACGCCCGTAGCACTGAAGGTAAGGCCAGGCCCTGGGTACCCACACGGGCCTGCACGCTGCGGGTACCTCGCCCACAGCCGGCCAGCTGCATGGTACCTTCCAGTATCCCCCTCCCCAGGATCATGGTACCTGCCAGGCACCCTCTGCCACCATCAGCCTCATTCAGTCATTCAGTTGTTCCTCAAACATTGAAATCGCATCAGATCCTCGAGATACAGAGATGAGTTGGGCACAGTTCTGCCCTCACCAAGCTGCCGGCTAGAGGTGGGAGACAGACCAGGGGATCACTGATGCGGGGCTAAGGGAACATCGGCCTAGGAGCGGCTGGCAGGTCCTGGTTGTTGGGGAGGGGGTCTGAGAAGGCTTCGCAGCAGGGCTGACCTTAGACCTAAGCTCCAAGGGACAGGTGGGTGTTCCAGGCAGAGAAGGAAGAAGCACATTCCAGGAGACAGAGCGGCTGATGCAGAGGCAGGTGTGTTGTTCTGTGTGCCAAAGCGTGCAGGGGTGTGAGAGGTGGGGCTGGAGAGACAGGCAGGGCTCAGCCTCCCAACAGCCTTAGGGTCATGGCAAGGAATTTGGGACCTATCCAGTGGGCGGGGGCAGAGACCCGGTGGACACCTGTTCGTGGGTGCTCTTTTGAAAGCTACGCGGTGGGGATGGGTAGACAAGAAGCAGGGAGACCAATTGGGAGGCTGCAGCTGGACCCTGGACAACAGACAGTGACAACAGCTGGAGAGGGGCCTGGAGTCTGTTTAGTCAGTAGAATGGACAGAAACAGTGACTGATGGGAGGAACAGGGGGAGGGGGAGGGGGAGGGGGTGGCGGCTGACAGCCAAGCTCCTAGTGTGTGCAAAAGAACGGACAGTGCCCTTAAGCGAGGGGGGTGCATGGCAGATGAGAAGGGGTTCGGGGCAGGAAGAGAGAGAAGGTGAAGGGACCGGATTTTGGCACCTAGAACCTGATAACGGCAGCTGTTAGTACCACCCTGTCCCTCCAGCCTCTAAGACCCTGTCCATTCTCTGCCCAGCCTTCCCACCAGTTCCCAGGATCTCAGTCTCATCCTGACAAACAGAGGAAGAGCACAGAGCCTTGGCCCTATTTAAACCCCTTTTCCTTCTCCATCCTTCCATCCCCTGCTGCTATGAAGCCTTCTCCTTTCCTGTAGCTCCAGGCCTCCTCCAGCCCACGATCTGTGGGCCTTTCTATCTCCTCTGCCTCTCAGTCTCATGTGACTTGTCTCAAACTCCAAGTTGCCGACTGATGCAACACAGGCTAAAAGGCCTTGTGGGAGAGTGAGTGTCTTCTGCTGGGACCAGGCTGACCTGAACTTGCAGGAGGCCCATCATAGCTAGAGGCTCCTGGGAAATGCTCTTGAAGCGTGGATCCCTTGGTATTAGGGCATTGGCTAACATCTAGTTATAGTCAGAGAATGGATTGGAGATCAAGAGGGAAGTTGCCACATATTGGCTTGATGGCGTTCTTTATTTATTCAATCCCCATCCATCCGTCTGTCCATCCATTCATCCATTCACCCATCTATCCATTCACCCATCTATCCATGCATCCATCCATCTGCCCAGCTTTCTGCCCATCTGTCTGTATATTCATTTCGTCCATAATCTGTCTGTCCATCCAGCCATCACTCATCCGCGCATCTATCTTTTCTTCCATCTGTTCTGTTTCTGTACCCATCCATTTGTATATTCATCTGCACAACATTTTGTCTGTCTGTCTCTGTTGATCTGTCTATCCATCCATTTGTCAACCCATCTCTTTATCCATCTACTTAACCATCCATCCATCAGTCCATCTATTCAGTCATCTGTAAATCCATTCATCCATCCACCTGTCCCACCATCTGCCCATTCATCCATCTGTTTTTCCCTCCATCCATTCATTCATGCATCTCTCCACACAGTAAGTCTTCTATGAGCACTTACCAAGTCCCAGCCCTGTGGCTCAGATGGTTCCCTGCCTTCAATGTTACAGCCTAGTTCCCTCTGCCCATGTGTGTCCTCAAGCCCCAAACTTGCAGAAGGAAAGGGCCCTTTGGCCAAATGTGATGGGCTCCCCCTTCTCATTGCTCCCTGGCCCACAGGAGGTGCTGGAGCTGGAGCGGACCCTGGGTGGCTACCTAGTGGAGGAGCCGAAACCCCTGCTGTTTAAGGACAGTTACCATAACCTGCGCCTCTCCCTCCATGACCTGCCCCACGCCCACTGGAGGAGCAAGCTGCTGGCCAAGTACCAGGTGAGGGCTGGGCCGCAGGAGGGGGAGGGATGGAGCTGGGGAGGGGCGCACCTGGGGGGCTTCCCAGAGAAGACCAACTCCCCTCCCTGCCTCCTCCCTCGGTCCTGCAGCCTTGGTCCCCACTCCCACCCCTGTGTCTCTCTCTGTCTCCCTCCCCCTGCCACCCCTGTCACATACTCCCACACACAAATGTCTGTACCCGTCATCTTTAAAGAGACCTTACCATCTCTAAGAGCGTTCATGGCTGGCAGATTGTCCAAACTAATCTCTGATGGTCACATCCCTCTGCCTGCGCCCATCTGTGTGACACCATTGAGTCCACAAGGCTTCCCAGACCCAGACACATGCACCCACACAGTCACATATTCAGACTCGTGCCTTCTCACCCATATACTCCCTTTCTCAACTGAAGGGCCCTTGCGCAGCTCTTCTTCCTCTGCCCACCTGGATGGAGAGGTCCCAGCCCTCCCTGAGGCTGGCCCCCTTACCTGCCTCCGCCTCCATTCCCCGAGGGCAGGGCAGGCTGGCCTCACCTCCCTGACCCTTCCCCTCCTCCCCCAGGAGATCCCCTTCTATCACATTTGGAGTGGCAGCCAGAAGGCCCTGCACTGCACCTTCACCCTGGAGAGGCATAGCCTGGCCTCCACGGAGCTCACCTGCAAGATCTGCGTGCGGCAGGTGGAGGGGGAGGGCCAGATATTCCAGCTGCACACCACGCTGGCAGAGGTGAGGGCCGGAGCGCGGATGCCCCACGGGGCTGGGCGCTGCAGCGGGCAGACCCCAGGCTCCTCCTCATCTGGGGGAAAGGCCACCTCCCACAGAGCTGTGCCCCTCACCTCCCAAGTCTGAGCTGGGACTTGGTCACTCTTTGCTAACAGCTGTGACTTACTGAGTGCCGAGCCTGGGCTTGGCCTGTACCAAAACTCACCAAATCTGTACAACCACCAGGGAGACAGATACGAGGATCCCCACCTGGAGATGAGAAAGAAGGTTTTAGGGAGAGCCGGTATCAGGACCTTGTATCGAGCCAACGCTTGGCCCGGGCCTGTGGCTCTCCACCGCTATAATCCAGATTGAGGTTTATAAAACCTAGGCCACCCAGGAACCGTGCTAGGCCCTCCTTGCAGTGCAGTGTAAAGAGCACTGGATATAGTCTAGACCAGCGGTCCCCAACCGTTTTGGCACCAGGGACCGGTTTCATGGAAGACAGGTTTTCCACGGACGGACGGGGGTTGGTGCAGGGGATGGTTAAGGCGGTAACGCGAGCGATAGGGAATGGCTGATGAAGCTTCGCTTGCCCGACCCCGCCACTCACTTCCTGCTGTGCGGCCCAGTTCCTAACAGACTGCGGACCGGCTGGGGACCCCTGGTCTAGACCTAGCTCTACCACTAACAGGGCATGTGACCATGGATTAGTCACTTCTCCTTTCCAGACTTCATTTGCGTTTGTGTAAAAGGAGGTCCCCGTGGATTAGGCTGGGGCTAAGGCCCTCGTGGCTTTGTAGTGACGAGGTGGCACCAGCACTGGCCCAGGCAGTGCCTTAGCGTGTGCACCCCGAGGGCGGAGACGGGGTGTACAGCCCTGGCCCTGGAGAGCTGACCTTCCAGGGGAGGAGCCCTTTGAGCACCTGGAGCCTGCCCAGAGGCGGGGGAGCGGCCGGAGCTTCCAAGAGCTCACAGTCCCCAGGCAGGAAGGCTGGAGGGGCAGATGCCCAGTGAGCCGTGCACAGGGAGCCCTCTGCCCCTCTCACCCGTGCCCCCTGCTCTTCCAGACGCCTGCCGGCTCCCTGGACGCCCTCTGCTCCGCCCCCAGCAGTGCAGTCACCACCCAGCTGGGACCCTACGCCTTCAAGATCCCCGTTTCCATCCGCCAGAAGATATGCAACAGCCTGGACGCCCCCAACTCGCGCGGCAATGACTGGCGGTTGTTGGCGCAGAAGCTCTCCATGGACCGGTGAGTGTCGGGACAGCCCGCCCGGCCTGGACCAGAGCCGCCCCCCTCCCTCTGTCCCCATGGGGCGGGTGGGGCAGGCAGCCTGACGGTCCAGGAGCGGATCCGCCATTTGCGGTAGACCAGGAGCTCAGGCTTGGGTGTGCTAAGTCTGAGAAGCTGGTTCCTTCAGGAGCGTCGTGCTCAGAGTGCTGGCCCTTGAGAATCAGGTAAAGCCAGGATACCAGCCAAGCGTGATCACCGTCAGCAGTCCTGTGTCCAGGACAGAGCAGGTGTTTTGGAAATGCTTGCTGGGTGACAGAATGCATCCTGGTGTCAGAACTCTTCTGGAGAACTTAAAGTGCTGGATAAATATAGTGGCATTTAGTCATCATTATTGTTATGGTACACTTACTGAGAAACCATTTAATACACCTGCGTCGAGCAGATGCCATGTAGAAGACCTCTTACTCAGAATGGGTGGGATCCGTAAGGATGTCAAAGCCTTTGTTCCTGATTTCAGGGCAGTGCATGGGGCGGGTGAGAGCAGGCAGACAACGAATGTGGGATGGAGAGAGAGCATGGAGTGCTAGGTTTGGACAGCCTCTCCTGGGGCCAGTGTCTTTCAGTGATAGTAATAACGATGCTGATGACTGATGATGAGCAGGACAGTTTCCATTTTAGAGATGAGACTGGGGCTCAGAGAGGAGCAGTGACTTGCCCAGGGCCACACAGCCTGCAAGCAGAGGGGCTGGGAATTCAGACCCAGGATTGTGGGAGCCCGGAGCCCACCGTCCCGGTGCTCCTGGGATGTACCCTCAGTGCTCCCTCCACCCCAGGCTCCCGGGAGGGACTGAGCATTTTGGGAGCCCAGTGTCCTTCTCCTTCCCTCCATCAGGTACCTGAACTACTTTGCCACAAAAGCGAGCCCCACGGGTGTGATCCTCGACCTCTGGGAAGCTCTGCAGCAGGACGACGGGGACCTCAACAGCCTGGCGAGTGCCTTGGAGGAGATGGGCAAGAGCGAGATGCTGGTGGCCATGGCCACCGACGGGGACTGCTGAGCTGCCCCAAACCCGCAGGCTGTTAGGGACCAGCAGGCGGCTGGCACAGGCAGACCCAGGGCAACCTCCTGTGGGGCAGTTGGGCCTCCTCTGCTCCCGAGCTCACAGCCAGAATCGCCCTTCCTCCTCCTCCTCCCCTTGCCCCCCCCCACCCAGACCACGACCAGCCTTAGGAAATCCATGGACGTTGTTGTTGGGAGGACCCAGCGGTCCTTCTCCACCTCCTGCTGTCTCTCCTGACCTCAGACCGCTGTGCAGGAACCGGGGTGGGGATGGGGCCTCTGGAGGCAGCTAGGGGAGCAAGGAGGTGGCCCTCCCACCCTGTGCCCCAGGGTCTCTGGGGTGCATCTGTTTTAGTTGTGCTCTTCATTTTCTTCCTCAGCTATTGATTTCTCCCTCCTCCCTAAGCCCCTTTCTCCTTTCACACTGTTTTCCTCTTCGAAGAGTCAAGTACAGTTCAGACAAACTGCTTTCTCCTGTCCACAAGCAAAAAGGAAGAGGAAAGAAAGAAGGAAAGAAAGAAAGCTTCAGACTGCTAGTAAGGCTCAAACAAAGAAGAAAAACACCAAAACCACAAGGGAAAAGAAAACCCAGTTTCTTAGGAAACGCAAATGATTTATTATCCAGATATTTGGATAAGTCCTTTTTAAGAAAAAAAAGAAAAAGAAAATGAAAAAACAACACAAAAAAAATAGAAAACACTTTTCTTGAGTATGGGTGAGTGTGGGCATGCTCGCGGTTCTGGCCAGCAGCGTGTGTGTGTGTGTGTGTGTGTGTGTGTGTGTGTGTGTGTGTGTGTGTGAATCAGGGAGAGAGAGACTGAATAGGGAACACTTTGCTGCTAATGATTTTATCTTAGACTGAATTCTTACAAGGCCTCAGCTTCCACAGCTCTACAGGGTCAGATGAGGTTTGAGCTGTGGTCCCATGTTTCTTCCTAAAATCTTAAGCAGATGCTGAATCAGTAAAGCCAAGGAGCCCTGAGATCGGGCTTGGGGTGGGGTCCTGCCTCCCTCTCACAGCCCCAGGCGGGTGCTGCAAGTCTCATCTGGGCTCCCAGGAATCCAGATGAAGATGCCCTGGGATGGAAAGTGTGGGCGGGCCAGCCCAGCTGTGAGCCAGGGAGAATTTCCAGTACTGTGGTCTGGTGGCTTCTGGAGAGGGGCCATGGCCCAGAAGCGGGACCCTAACAGAGAGAGAGAAGTCAGGGATGAGAATCCCCCATGGACAGGACACATCTCTCTCCCGCATCCCAGGGTGGGGCCAGCCAGGACACGCCCACCCAGCAGCCTCTAGACCAGGTGGGCTGGAGCAGGTGGGTGTTCTCTTAATGCCCGGGATCTGCCCTTTCCCAGGCTTGGTTACTTCTGTAAAACAGAAGGGGTGGATAAGAGGGCGTCTCTAGCTGCAGAAGCCTGAGCTTCTGGGGTCAGTGTGGCTTTGAGGAACGTGTTAGCAGCCGTCCCTGCGGGTGGCGTGGGAGGCTGGGAGGTGGCTGCTCGGCTGTGCTTTACGCACTGGCCTGGAGTGGAGGAGGCAGGGTGGAGGGCTATTTTCCCAGCTCTGATCTCCACAGGCACCCCCTGTCACCCTCCCTCCACAGTCTGACGGAAGCTTTGACAGGCAGCATTGCCAGGGTGGAGAGCCTGGCACCCCCTCTCCAGCCTGTTCCAGGATGTTCCAAGGGGCCATCAGGGTCCCTTTTTGGCCATCTGGTGGTGGCTGGAACCAGAATCTTGAGCTGGCACAGAGGCCACATCAAAGGCTTCTCCTCCTTGGCACCCGAGCCAAAGCAAGTGCCACCTCTGGGCATTGACCCCAGGGCTTTGCCCCAGCAGGTCCGTGAGCATCCTGGCCTTTATGACCCCAGGGCTTGCCCCAGCAGGTCCATGAGCATCCTGGCCTTTAAAGGTCTGGTCTCCTGGGAGGAAGGCAGGTTTGGGGGCTGTAGTCCCAGCCAATGTCCCCAGCCAGGCTTTCCTGCCATGCACCAGGGAGCTTATGGGGATAGTGGGATTCTTACCACCCACCAGCCCCCCGGGCAATGGGTTGGCTGTGGGCAGTCAAGGGCCTGCTGGGTTTGAGAGAGAGGGTTCCTTTTTATCAGTGCTGCTGAAGGGGCCAGGCCTGCATGGGGCTTGGGCCCCTGAGGCTGAGACCATAGCTCTTCATTCCCCAGTGCCTGTGTGGACGTTGCCTCAGACAAAGGCAGTGAGCCTTCCCTGCCAAAGGTGCCTGTCCACTACAGGCTCAGCGTCCCGGCTCGCTCCTAGTCTGAGCTGTGCGGGCCTGTGTGGTAGCTTGAGGGCAGCCTGGAGTCAGCGTTCCAGCTCCAGCTTTGCCATTAAACCTCTGTGTGACTTCAGGCATATGACTGCCTTCTTGGGGCCTCTGTTCCTTTTTCTACCAAGGCCCCACGGCTGCTGTCTGAGGCCTCTGGGGCTCTGATACGTCACTCTAGTCTCCTGATGGGAACGCTAGTGGGTAGAAGTTGACGGTGGTCTGCCATGTCCCGCCTCCGTTCCCCACCCTCAGAAGCGAGCTGCTTCCTCAGTGCCCAGGACGGGAGCTCTTGGTGGGTGAGGCCGGGCCAGCCCCCCAGGTGCCATTTCTAATCGGATTCCTAGAAATTGTGTACCAGGGCCTGGAGCACGGAACCAATGGGCTGAAGCCTCCTGGGAGGGTTCAAACTGTCCAGCTTTATAAGAAAAGCCTGGAAAGGATTTGCTGGCTCCATCAATCTGCCACGGCTGCTGTGACTACGTCTGCAGACTGCCCGCCTCAGGGTGCGATGGACGTTCCTCCGCTTATTCGAGCCTGAGAGGCAGCCCCACACAGCTGAGTACCTTGAGAACCGCAGATTAAGTGCCACTGCAGGAATGCAGGGCCCTCGCGCACTGTTGACGTCTCTCTCATCTCTGTGGTGTGTTTGCGCGTGTGTGCGTTGGGGGGGGGGGGCTTTTATCCGCGGGCACATTAGCGTGCCTCTCCGGGAACGTGACCCCACCTGTGTGTACATGTGTGCCCTCGCGTCCAGGCTGGGCCACCTGGAGGTTGGTGTGCCTGGTTTTGCCCTCTCTGAGTCCACAGGGTCAGTCGGTGTATCTTCTATGTGCCTCTCCCTCGGCCTTCCCTCGCAGTGCCCTGGGCTCCAGAGGGACCCTCCCCACTCCTGGAAGATCCAGGACCCTCTGGTCCCTTTTCCCCAGCAACCAGGCAGCTGAGCCAGGTCCCTTAGCAGGCCCTCTAAGGAGAGGTGACCAAGAGCCTGGGTGCAGGGAGCAGCTCTCCTGTGGGCCAGGGGCTGGACCACTCGCCTGGGCCATGGACATGGTTCTATGCTCGGGGCTGCAGGGCTGCAGGGATGGCCCCAATCCCACCTCTGTTTATTCTGTAAACTACAACCTGTAAATAACATTTAGCATTCCTATTGTAACAAAATTAATTTTTATGAAATAAATTATATTTCCTAGTCTAATAAAAAATTCAGGTTGTATTCTGTCTTTTTTTTTTTTAGATTTTTTTGGTATGGCTGGACTTTTTTTTTTAATGTCTTTATTGAAGTATAATTGCTTTACAATGTTGTGTTAGTTGATGCTGTATAACAAAGAGAATCAGCTATATGTATATATACATCCCCATTTCTCCTCCCTCTTGTGTCTTCCTCCCTTCCACCCTCCCTATCCCACCCCCCTAGGTGGACACAAAGCACCAAGCTGATCTCCCTGTGCTATGTGGCTGCTTCCCACTAGCTATCTATTTTACATTCGGTAGTGTATGTATGTCCATGCCACTCTCTCACTTTGTCCCAGCTTACCCTTCCCCCTCCCTGTGTCCTCAAGTCCATTCTCTACATCTACGTCTTTATTCCTGTCCTGCCCCTAGGTTCTTCAGAACCTTTTTTTTTTTTTACATTCCATATATATGTGTTAGCATATGGTATTTTGTCTTTCTCTTTCTGACTTACTTCACTCTGTATGACAGTCTCTAGGTCCATCCACCTCACTACAAATAACTCAATTTCGTTTCTTTTTATGGCTGAGTAATATTCCATTGTATATATGTGCCACATCTTCTTTATCCATTCATCTGTTGATGGACACTTAGGTTGCTTCCATGTCCTGGCTATTTTATTTTATTTATTTATTTTTTTTCTGGCTGTTTTAAATAGAGCTGCAATGAACATTGTGGTACATTACTCTTTTTTTAAAATAAATTTATTTATTTATTTATTTATTTATTTATTTATTTATTTTTGGCTGCATTGGGTCTTCATTGCTGTGCACGGGCCCTCTCTGGTTGCGGCGAGCGGGGGCCACTCTTTGCTGTGGTGAGCGGGCTTTTCGCTGCGGTGGCCTCTCCTGTTGCAGAGCACGGGCTCTAGGCACATGGGCCTCAGCAGTTGCAGCACGTGGGCTCAGTAGTTGCAGCTCACGGGCTCCAGAGCACAGGATCAGGAGCTGTGGCACATGGGCCTAGTTGCTCTGCAGCATGTAGGATCCTCCTGGACCAGGGCTCAGACCCGTGTCCTCTGCATTGGGAGGCGGATTCTTAACCACTGCACCACCAGGGAAGTCCCACATGACTCTTTTTGAATTATGGTTTTCTAAGGGTATAAGCTCAGTAGTGGGATTGCTGGGTCTATGGTAGTTCTATTTTTAGTTTTTTAAGGAAACTCCATACTGTTCTCCCTAGTGGCTGCATCAATTTAACTTCCCACCAACAGTGCAAGAGGGTTCCCTTTTCTCCACACCCTCTCCAGCATTTATTGTTTGTAGATTTTTTGATGATGGCCATTGTGACCGGTGTGAGGTGATACCTCATTGTAGTTTTGATTTGCATTTCTCTAATGATTAGTGATGTTGAACATCCTTTCATGTGTTTGTTGGCAACCTGTATATCTTCTTTGGAGAAATGTCTATTTATGTCTTCTGCCCATTTTTGGATTGGGTTGTTTGTTTTCTTGATATTGAGCTGCGTGAGCTGCTTGTACATTTTGGAGATTAATCCTTTGTCAGTTGCTTCATTTGCAAATATTTTCTCCCATTCTGAGGGTTGTCTTTTCATCTTGTTTATGGTTTCCTTTGCTGTACAAAAGCTTTTAAGTTTCATTAGGTCCCATTTGTTTATTTTTGTTTTTATTTCCATTTCTCTAGGAGGTGGGTCAAAAAGGATCTTGCTGTGATGTATGTCATAAAGTGTTCTGCCTGTGTTTTCCTGTAGGAGTCTTATAGTGTCTGGCCTTACATTTAGGTCTTTAATCCATTTTGAGTTTATTTTTGTGTATGGTGTTAGGGAGTGTTCCAATTTCATTCTTTTACATGTAGCTGTCCAGTTTTCCCAGCACCACTTATTGAAGAGGCTGTCTTTTCTCCATTGTATATTCTTGCCTCCTTTATCAAAGATAAGGTGACCATACGTGCATGGGTTTATCGCTGGGCTTTCTGTCCTGTTCCATTAATCTATATTTCTGTTTTTGTGCCAGTACCATACTGTCTTGATTACTGTAGCTTTGTAGTATAGTCTGAATTCAGGGAGCCTGATTCCTCCAGCTCCATTTTTCTTTCTCAAGATTGCTTTAGCTATTCAGGGTCTTTTGTGTTTCCATACAAATTGTGAAATTTTTTGTTCTAGTTCTGTGAAAAATGCCATTGGTAGTTTGATAGGGATTGCATTGAATCTGTAGATTGCTTTGGGTAGTATAGTCATTTTCACAGTGTTGATTCTTCCAATCCAAGAACATGGTATATCTCTCCATCTGTTTGTATCATCTTTAATTTCTTTCAGCAGTGTCTCATAGTTTTCTGCATACAGGTCTTTTTCTCCTTAGGTAGGTTTATTCCTAGGTATTTTATTCTTTTTGTTGCTGTGGTAAACGGGAGTGTTTCCTTAATTTCTCTTTCAGATTTTTCATCATTAGTGTATAGGAATGCAAGAGATTTCTGGGCTTTAATTTTGTATCCTGCAACCTTACCAACTTCATTGATTAGTTCTAGTAGTTTCCTGGTAGCATCTTTAGGATTCTCTATGTATAGTATCATGTCATCTGCAAACAGTGACAGTTTTACTTCTTTTCTGATTTGGATTCCTTTTATTTCTTTTTCTCTCTGATTGCTGTGGCTAAAACTTCCAAAACTATGTTGAATAATAGTGGTGAGAGTGGGCAACCTTGTCTTGTTCCTGATCTTAGAGAAAATGGTTACAGTTTTTCACCAGTGAGAATGATGTTGGCTGTGGGTTTGTCATATATGGCCTTTATTATGTTGAGGCAAGTTCCCTCTATGCCTACTTTCTGGAGGGTCTTTGTCATAAATCAGTGTTGAATTTTGTTGAAAGCTTTTTCTGCATCATATGGTTTTTATCCTTCAATTTGTTAATATGGTGTATCACATTGATTGATTTGCGTAATTGAAGAATCCTTGCATTCCGGGGATAAACCCCACTTGATCATGGTGTATGATCCTTTTAATGTGCTGTTGGATTCTGTTTGCTAGTATTTTGTTGAGGATTTTTGCATCTATGTTCATCAGTGACATTGGCTTGTAGTTTTATTTTTTTGTGACATCTTTGTCTGACTTTAGTCAGACAGGGTGATGGTGGCCTCATAGAATGAATTTGGGAGTGTTCCTCCCTCTGCTATATTTGGAAGAGTTTGAGGAGGATAGGTGTTAGCTCTTCTCTAAATGTTTGATAGAATTCACCTGTGAAGCCATCTGGTCCTGGCCTTTTGTTTGTTGGAAGATTTTTAATCACATTTTCAATTTCAGTGCTTGTGATTTGTCTGTTTATATTTTCTATTTCTTCCTGGTTCAGTCTTGGCAGGGTGTGCTTTTTTAAGAATTTGTCCATTTCTTCCAGGTTATCCATTTTATTGGCATATAGTTGTTTGTAGTAATCTCTCATGATCCTTTGTATTTCTGCAGTGTCAGTTGTTACTTCTTTTTCATTTCTAATTCTGTTGATTTTGAGTCTTCTCCCTCTTTTTCTTGATGAGTCTGGCTAATGGTTTATCAATTTTGTTTATCTTCTCAAAGAACCAGCTGTTAGTTTCATTGATCTTTGCTGTTGTTTCCATCATTTCTTTTTCATTTATTTCTGATCTGATCTTTATGATTTCTTTCCTTCTGCTAACTTTGAGTTTTTCTTGTTCTTCTTTCTCTAATTGCTTTAGGTGTAAGGTTAGGTTGTTTATTTGAGATACTTCTTGTTTCTTGAAGTAGGATTGTATTGCTATAAACTTCCCTCTTAGAACTGCTTTTGCTGCATCCCATAGGTTTTGGGTTGTCGTGTTTTCATTGTCATTTGTTTCTAGGTATTTTTTGATTTCCTCTTTGATTTCTTCATTGATCTCTTGGGTTATTTAGTAGTGTATTGTTTAGCCTCCCTGTGTTTGTATTTTTTACAGATTTTTTCCTGTAATTGATATCTACTCTCATAGCATGTGATCGGAAAAGATATTTGATAAAATTTCAATTTTCTTAAATTTACCAAGACTTGGCTTGTGACCCAAGATATGGTCTATCATAGAGAATGTTCCATGAGCACTTGAGAAGAAAGTGTATTCTGTTGTTTTTGGATGGAATGTCCTATAAATATCAATTAAGTCCATCTTGTTTAATGTATCATTTAAAGCTTGTCTTTCCTTATTTATTTTCATTTTGGATGGTCTGTCCATTGGTGTAAGTGGGGTGTTAAAGTCCCCTACTATGATTGTGTTACTGTCGATTTCCCCTTTTATGGCTGTTAGCCTTTGCCTTATGTATTGAGGTGCTCCTATGTTGGGTGCATAAATATTTACAATTGTTATATCTTCTTCTTGGATTGATCCCTTGATCATTATGTAGTGTCCTTCTTTGTCTCCTGTAATAGTCTTTACTTTAAAGTCCATTTTGTCTGATATGAGAATTGCAACTCCAGCTTTCTTTTGATTTCCATTTGCATGGAATATCTTTTTCCATCCCCTTACTTTCAGTCTATATGTGTCCCTAGGTCTGAAGTGGGTCTCTTGTAGACAACATATATATAAGTCTTGTTTTTGTATCCATTCAGCCAGTCTGTGTCTTTTGGTGGGAGCATTTAATCCATTTACATTTAAGGTAATTATTGATGTGTATGTTCCTATTACCATTTTCTTAATTGTTTTGTGTTTGTTTTTGTAGGTCTTTTCCTTCTCTTGTGTTTCCTGCCTAGAGCAGTTCCTTTAGCATTTGTTGTAAAGTTGGTTTGGTGTTGCTGAATTCTCTTAACTTTTGCTTGTCTGTAAAGGTTTTAATTTCTCTGTCGAATCTGAATGAGATCCTTGCTGGGTAGAGTAATCTTCGTTGTAGGTTTTTCCCTTTCATCACTTTAAATATGTCCTGCCACTCCCTTCTGGCTTGCAGAGTTTCTGTTGAAAGAT